TATATTTCTTATTTTTCCACTTTTTATTTTAATAATATCTTAACTATGTAATCGAAATGATTATTGATTTTTTTTTTTTTTTTTAATTTTCGTCTGCAATTTGTTTGGTCGATCGAAAGTTTTGTAAATCGTGCAAATCTGTGCTTCCCTTCAGTTAAGCGTGTTTTATAGCATAAATTTTTAGTGAAAGATGATGAATGAAACTAAATATGTATGTATGTATTTATATGTACGCTTTTCCAACCAAGTTGACGTCTGGCATTTGCCTAGTGGGCAACAACCTGGCTGGCCTTACATCTATATAAATATCTGCATATACATATATGTATGTATATATGTATTTATATATATGTATGTATATGTGTATATGTATTTGTATACCCATATCTATATACTATGACGATGATATTGTGAAATATATAAAGAAGAGAGAGAGAAAGAGAGAGAGTATGTATGTATATTTAATGTCAAGTGAAAAAGAAAACTAAAATAAAAAACAATAAAAGAAAAATGTAAAAAAAAAAACACACAATCGACTTGTTTCATTTTGTTGTTTGTTTATTGTTTGTGCAAATAAATAAATTGATATAGTTATTAGTGCTAAATGCTAAGGACCTAAACATAGGGGACAATCCGCTCGATCGCGACGCAACGTACAATAAAAGCATACAGCATATAAAAGTGTGACTGTCTTAGGTCTAACTACCGTTATGATCATAGAGCAATATGCCTGCGTATGTATATTAATTACTATGTGTACAATATGCATAGTTAAGTTAATGTGTTTAGGTATCATTTACTTATGGTTAGACTTTTTAGGAGAATTGCTTAAGTCTTGGTGAGGCAGATGATTATCAGTTTACTTACAATTTAACTCGTTTACGTTTAGTTCTCTATATAAAAAAATTGTTTAAATAATTCCGAACGACTCACACGCACACGCCCACGCACACACCGTCTATACACTGCTACATACATACGTAGTTAGTGTTCGTGTGCGTGTGCCTGTGTGGGATTGGCTTAGCTGATAAATGTGTGGTGAATGTGGACGGCTAGCTAATCACTCGTCTTGAGGCGCTTCACCGGCCCATCGCTGCCCTGTGAGTTGGAGTCCTCGGAGAAGGGCATGCTGGACACGAAGTCAGCTCCCTGACTGTCGCTCACCACTGAGAAGCCTGCGCGAATAGAAACACAAATTTAGTAATGTTGCGACGGGAGTGCGAACCAATCACGAATCCTGTCTCATTGCACTACACACTCACAAGTATTGGAGTCCTCGGCCGTGAGCCCTGCGTAGCTGGGCGTTATTTGAGGCGGGGTGGGCGTGCCCTTTTGCGAGTTCTCCTTGTCGCTGAGTTTGTTGTTCAGCTGCAGCTTGGACTTCTTCTCGCTGTTGGACGATATGGGCACCCATTTGTAGATCTTCATGGTCGTGTCGCTGATGGTCACCCATTTCTTTTCCCAGTGCCGCACCTTGTCGACCGCCTGCATGACGCGCTTGATGTCATCCTTGGCCCGACTGCGTGTCTCGGCGCGCACACTACGTGACATGTTGTCTGGAATCTGGGAGCAGGGCAGGGAGATGGCGTCTGAGAGGCGACGGCGGTGCTGCTGGCGATACAATTCAGTCTGCGATGCGAGGAAGCTTTAGGCGCGCTGTGGCTTAACTTGCGAAACGTTTCGCTCCACTGATCTCCTTCAATGTGTCAATTCCGTTGAATCGAGTAGTTATTATATGCTCCTGTTCTCAATATTTGCAAAAAAAAAAGTTTTTTTTTAGGTCTGAATTAAAGCGAGGGGCGAAAATACATTTACCGACTAGTGTTGAGAAGCTCGCGTTTCATTTGGTATGTTGATAAATATTGAAAAATGCCTATATGCCGATAGGCAAATATAAGGTCACTCTTGATTTTGAACGATAGTTGACTTGTTTATATATTTTTACTTTTGGCTTTGTAAGCTCACAATATTAATTTTCTTCATACAAACTATATAGAAAATGATGCTTAAATGTTCCATTATTACTTAATTTATATATCGATATTTCAAAACAACGATACTAATAATAAAGTAGCACCACTAACCAGAGCACTCAGCTTCTGCACGTGTGCAAAATCAAATTTAACGATATATACAAGAATAAAGCGATACTTTAATAACTTTACAAAACCCAAGTGAATTTTTCATCAGGTTTGTTGCCACTTTGTTAATATTTTGGAAATGTGCCCTTTCTTTTGTTTTGTTTATGTTTTTTTTTTTTTTTTTTTTGTAAACAGCTATCGATATATTCCCTTCGAGCACACCATCTAATCTGATTGCATCATTGCCAATGTGTTCAGTAGATAAGTTTTGTTAATTAAACTAATAACTTAATCTTATTTTCTGTTAATGTACGGATTTAAAATTCATATTAATCCGCAGTAATTTGGTTGATGTTTTCTGTTATCACCTATCGCCAACTATGTAAACAGTGCTATAAAATGATAATATATCGATAGAATAACAGACTAACAAAATTAGTCGAACATGCTTGGGCTTGTTCTGACACTAACATTTCCTTAACAGAATACAATTTTTTTCGACAGACGACGGGCGAGGAAATTATGCGCAGCGCGTTGTTGTGGTTATTTTTTTTATTTATTTTTTCGTAAATATATATATACCCAAAAGTGCATAATTGGAATGAAAGGCAAAAATAAAGTGTTCCATTCACAAGTGTACGTGCATTTGGCATTAACTTTCCTCTGAAAGTTGAGCGCACGATATTGCAGGCAACGCCATCATCGTCGTCGTTGTCGTCGTCGTCGTTTGTGTGTGGAGCGGTGTGCTGTGCTTAGGAACGGAGCGTGAGAGAGAGAGAGAGAGAAGAGAAGCGGACAAACGGCAAGGAATATCGCAAAAAAAAGTTGCAGCAAAAGCAACAACGTGCGTGCGTGTGTGTGTGTAGAAAGAAAAGCATTAAAAAGCCAGAATAAGAGGAACCACATTGGCAGCAGGAGAAAAAACGAAACGAAAGAGCGCAAGGTGGGAACCAAGAACAACGAACGACAGCTAAACGGGTGACAGGCGCGACAAGAAAGACAAGAAAAACAGGAGTACAAATATACTAAAAGGGCGAAGACAGCAGCAAAGCAACAACAACAGCACCAAGACCAACAACAACAGCAACAGTAGCAGCGATAAAATGTTAACCAGCGCCAAGAACAAACAATTCAAATAGTGTTCATTTGGATAGAGCAAAAAAAAATCGCATTTGCCGCTTGTGTAAATGTGTATGCATGTGTGCGAGTGCGTTTGGGTGTAGGTGCTTGTGTGTCTGTGTGTGGCTGTGACAATGTGTTTTTATAACAGCGCCTAATTCGCAAGCAACAACAACAAACGCTAGCAAAATTATATCAGTGAGAATCCGAAGCTGGAAAATCAACAACAACAACAGTAGCAGCAGCAGCGGCGGCAAGAACAACAACAACKACCAGCATTCGCTCGCTCGATCCCATTTCACGCGTCGCCTCACCTCGTCTCGCCTTGCCGTCTCTTATGTTGTTTTCTGTCTGTCACACTTGCAGTTCCATACGATCCAGCATCGCTACGTCATCGTCATCGAACTATCAAGTTATCGGCCATCATCCACATAATCAGCACAGGTTCCACACCGGCCATATCCACTGACGTTGCACCAGCAACAGAAGCAACAGAAGCAACACAAACAACAATAACAACACCAAAAACAATAACAGCTACACAATGCCCAAATGCGATGTGAAAACCCGTTACATTCCGGCGACTTTCGCATGGATTGTGCTGCTACTTACAACATTTCTCTTCTTCTTTTATCCGTAAGTATCCAAAACAATATACTCAAATCAAATAAAATAAGTTTCTCTTAAATATTGTCCATTAGGATTTTACATTAGGCTAGTAACTTATTATTATAACAGTTCAATAATAGGCAAACTTTTATTCCAAGCTCTTAAATTTCCTCTTTCCATACAAAAATTTCCAAAAATAATTGTTTTCCCAGATAATAGGTAGGGAAATTTTTGTTCCCAGATGCTCTGTTCCCCTTTACCTCATATAGACCATAAAACTAATCCTAAATTGTTTCATATTCAGATGACCCGAATTCGTAAAAAGACGTAAATAAACTTAAAAATATTTTAATATGATTCATGGAGAATAATAGAAATTTATAGATTCCGTCTAATAGTTCAATACGGAACAGGCTCTATGTCGCTTTACTTGTTTTGCTTAGCAAAGTACTTTTTATACCCTGCACTGATGTGCTGAGCAAAGGGGTTTTTAGTTCTTAAGGCCAAGTTATACTGAACTATAGAAGACTTCCTTTGGCAGAAATACTCACTTATATCAGTCTAGAAAAGGATTTCCCTTTTCAAATATAATATGGAATAAGGGAAATAATAATAATAATATGTTTAGCATTGTGTGAGCAGTACAGGGTATCCATTGGGCCAAACCTTCTAAGCTAACTGGGCTGGGTCGCCATTTATTATCCGTTATTTACTTTGCGCTCATTTTCGTGGATTATAACGAAGCTGCATCAGGACTTTTTACTAGCGCACAGTGCAGCTTTCTCCTCAATCCCGTTTTCTTCATTTTTTTTCTGCTTTTTTCGTAATAGTTTTTCACGGAGTAAGTGGATTTTACTGTGGGTGGAGCACGAAAAACGGAGACTTGCGGAATTGCATAATTTGTTTAGTTGACAAGTTTGCATAGTCCATTTGGCATAGCCAGTGTGTGTGCGTCACTGGATCCTCCATGAAACTTTGATGTATGTTCTTAATTTCCACTGAATCGATTGGGTTATTATCTTAAAAAGAGGCGGAACAGCAAGAAGGGCGAGATGAGTCGATCTAGGCGAACAATCTCTTCAGACTTTATACTTTAAAAATATATTTTTACATAATACATTTTCTTCTTTTCTTTTCTTTTTATCTCTCGATAACGAACACTCTATTTTTTATCGATATAAATCGATAATTAATCGAGCCAAAGACTTTAGAATTTAAATTTCAAATATGTATTCTTGTATGACATATTTATCTCTCAAAAACTTATCCTCTTTTTTGTAGATATACAATCAGATATTTATGCTCTGCACCCAAAATATATGTTTCACATAGTAGAGAATTGTAACTATTCGACAATGAAAATCTTATCTTATCAAGCTATTCAATAACTGATCTACCGTAAGTCCCAAGTTAAGCAGTCTGACTCCTCCAAAAATATATATAAAATGTCTTTCCTACCAATTCGGAATCCATATAGACATTTTAAAATCAACTTTGCAATTGTTTTTTTTTTTTTTTATTATCGCTATCACCTCGCTTGTTGGCTCAGCTCGCAGTTGATTCATTTATTTATATACAGCTTGATTGTTTTTGTTATTTTCCGGTTCTTATTAATTGTCGTTTGTTTACATATGTGGCGTCATTTGATATGTCGCGCATCACCCTATATGGATGGCATGGCTGGCACGGCTATGCGAGACCCTTAAGACTTCGAATTCGCTGGGTTTTAGGTTTGATATTAATTCGTTTATTATTAGAGCACCGTTGGGACGTATGGACCTATGGGACCTATAGGACCTCTGGGACTTTCTGTGGTTGCAGGAAGCGCAGGGCTTAGAGGAAAGCGTGCTGGAATTATGTTGGCCGAGGGCAATACGTTGCTTTGAGGGCAACTGGTCGACTTGTGGTTATTGTTGGGCACGCGAATGCCACAGGTTGTGTGGCCGTTGTTAAACATAACCAGACTGCACCCCCTGCCCGACTTTCAGATACCCTACAAACAGCTTTTGATACTATTAAACTGGTTAAAAGTATCTGTAGATTAACTTTTGTTCAGCTCAAATCGAATATTCCTTTTAGAGAGCAAAATAAAAGTGTTTGCAGTTCAATAACAATGAAATAATTAGTACAGGGTATCAGGAAGTCATCAGATGAACTCATGACGCGACCCGAAAAATTGAAAAAATCAACAAAACTAAATGCGCAAAGCACGCGAAATTTGCGAGTAGCGCAACTAAAACAATAAAAAATGAAAACAGAGCAGCAGCAGCTAACACAAATATATAATAATAATGGTATGTACATGTATGTGTGCTTGTGTGTGTGTGTATGTGTGGGTATTAATATATATCCACACACATGTTTGTTGTTGGGGTAGGGGAGCGCACCGATAGCAGCGACAGCAAGAAGAACCATTAAAGTGCGTCATTTTAACAATCGGCTTGCGCGTTCCTCCGCCGGCCCCACTGCACGCCCAGTCGCCATTTCCCACCCAAATGGTCACACCATTTGTTTTACCTTCGCTCAACTCCCCTGCCCCTGCCACCGCCCGCTACCACCAGTCCCACCCTCAACATTGTGTGCCAGGCAACCGTTGATATTGTAAAAAAAAAACGCCGCTGAGCGATTTACCTTGCGACGGTGTCGAATTTTCCACCAGTTGCCCAAAGCGCGTTCACACAGATTCAAACACACACACACATAGACGCAGACACGCAGCTTATTGTTGCTATCTATTTGATAATTCCAGGCGAGGCAACAATTCGCAGACAAATTTAAACTTTCTCAATTCAAGGTTTAAATACAGTTGTAAGGCAACTATATATGCATGTATATATGCCATATATTCACTGAATAATAAGTTCCATCTAAACTGTAAACAAATAATATTTATACAGAAATTTGTGTATTTTTATGTAAGTTGAGATTGTATCAGAAAGTAATATAACTGTACTTAATTTATATTTGGTTCCCAAGAATTTCCCCACCTATTTGCCACAACTTTGGGCAGTCTAGCCAAGTATTAATTTACTCGGTCCTGTGATATGCGCGCTTATCACGAAAGTTCGTAACAGATGGTCAATGCGATCAATACAGTGAATCAACGAAACAGCATAAAAAGCTATGCTAAGATTATGTGTGATTCGACTACTCAGTCATTTATTCTATATTTGGGACATACTATGTACATACATGTGTAACCTTCCAGAAGTGGCCCCAACTTTTGATCTCTCTCCTCTCATCAGCTATCGGTGCCAGAAAAGGAGCACGTTTTGCATTCCCTAGTTTTATATAATGAGTATAATAGTTTAGTAGAATATAATAACAACTACAACTAATCATAAAGGCAAGGAATTCTTCGATCTAATTTAGTAATAAATATAATAATGAACTCACCGACTTCAAGCAGTCGAAGCAAATTGACGATATATGCAGCTGCGGTCATAAAAATTTTTGTGTGACTGAGCACAAAATGTTACACAAAAGCTTAGATATAATCTCAATATTTTGAAAACAATTTGAAGCGAATATTCAGATTAACATATATTGTTATTCATCTAGATGTTCATATTGAGCTTTGCACGCATTGCTTTTCGTCCAATATTTAGGGCTCAGTCGCATTATTATTTTTATGACCGCAGCTGTATATATATAGATATATCATCAGTCGGGTCGCTCTGAGCTGCATTTACCGCTTACATCTTACCGTTTGAAACAGCATTCTCAAGGTGGAATAGAACATTATCCGACTCATGGAGTTGTTCTACAATACGTGCTCTCGAAGAGTCGGTTTCTCTGTGTCCTTCGACTTTTCATAGACTGAGCACATTCTTAGCATCGTGAGATCCCTCCTTTTGAACAGATCAGTTCCTTTTTATGTCCGAAATGTGATGCATGCAAGTAGATTCGTCATATTTCTCATATTCTGAAGGTTTTTTCCCCAGGCAACTAAAATTAAAAGTGACAAAAAAAAAAACAACAGAGAGAAGGCAGTCCCGTCCTACTCTCCATTAGGCACGGCCTCTAGGGCTAATATAATATTCTCTGTCCATCACACATCCCCCATCCCTGCCCAGTGTGACCATAGTCCGCTGTCGCAGGTCTACTTTGTCGACTGCAACGAAAATACATATTTATTCGTAAATAAACAATAAATATTATATTTCGCTTGACGAGTAAATTGCACCATTTAACTGATTTTCACGAATTGCTTTGTTTATTAAGCAGCTTTGGCACGAAATAAAATTAAATTTAAATGAATTGTAGCCAGTTTCAAAGTAACTATAATTAAATAAATACCCTACACAAATAAATTGTAGCATGGGGTATATTGCCACAACGAAGAAATGTGTGAGAATTACATTAAAACTCAAACTTAAATCTCAACGGGGCTTAGGTAGTTGGTCTGGAATATTTATACATTTTCCAGAAGGCTTTATCATCCACCTGTGGCAATAGGCGGAGCAAAATAGCTTGAAATCCTTATCAGCGAATAGGTAAAACTATCTGACTATGATATAAAAACATTTACTATTATCGAAAATAGATGAGATATCGAGAGGACAGAATGGGAAACATAGAATAGAGTATACATAGGATAGACTATTAATTTTGTTAACCTTATCATGTGTTCTGAATACAGCACCTGTCAGGCGAATAGGTTCGCCATTTTTGAAAGCTTTGCCGAACATTATGATTTGATTATGTGAAATAATAATGATAATAAATTCTCTACATTTTATTATTATTACTTTAAGAATCTTCCGAAAGATGTCATTCAATTGAATTTTTAAAATTACCTTACCAGGTATGGATTCTAAATTCAGTGGCGTGATGCTTGGCTACCAGAAAATTTCAGGCCTCGTCTAGAACATTTTGCAAGCAAAAAAGAAAAATATTACTGAAAACTTGGAATACTCTAATATTCAAAATATTTTGCAAATCAAGCGACAATTTAAATTCTATCCTCTGAGACAAGTAGAAAAATTCATGGAAGCAAATATACTTTTATTAAGATTCAGTTGGAA